GAAATAGCAGTTCACAAACTTGAAATTCAACCTGACTTAATTCCTGTCAAACAAGCCCCACGACACATGCGCTTAGAAATTGAACAACAAGTGATATCTGAAGTTAAGAAACTGATTGATGCAGGCTTTATTCGAAAGGAAAAATATCCCTCTTGGTTGGCTAGTGTCATCCCAGTAAAAAAGAAAAGTGGTCAAATTCGCGTATGCATCGATTATAAGGATCTGAATAAGGCATGTCCGAAAGATGGGTTCCCGTTACCCATACCAGAACACATGGTAGACATTGCCTCTGAGCATGAAATTTTCTCTTTTATGGACGATTCATCTGGATATAACCAAATCAAGATGACTCCTGAAGATGAAAAATTTACTGCATTCAAAACACCTATAGGGGTCTTCTGTTACAAAGTCATGCCCTTTGGACTTAAAAATGCTGGTGCAACTTACCAGCGAGCTATGACCCGAATCTTTGATGATTTAATCCACCAACAAGTGGAATGTTATATCGATGATTTGGTTGTCAAAAGTCATCAAAGGGAATACCACCTTCATGATCTGAGAATCATTTTTGAAAGGTTGCGCCACTACGACCTAAAGATGAACCCTTTGAAATGTGATTTCGGAGTTACTACAGGGAAATTCTTAGGGTTTGTAGTGAGACACCGACGTATAGAAATTGATCCTTCCAAAATAAAAGCCATCTTTGATGTGCCTCCTCCTAAAAGTCTAACCCAATTAAGATCTCTTCAAGGTAGGTTGGCATATCTACGGAGATTCATTTCTAACTTGTCTGGTAGGTGCAACCATTTGCTGTTTTATGTAAGAAAGATGCCCGATTTCATTGGGATGAAATGTGTCAAAATGCCTTTGAAAGCATAAAACAGTATTTGTTAACACCTCCAGTTTTAGCGGCTACTATTTCGCTAAAACCTCTGATACTTTACACCGCAGCTTTAGACAACTCTCTTGGCGCCTTGTTAGCCCAAACTAATGAGGAAGGAAAAGAGAACTCACTTTACTACTTGAGTAGGAGACTCCTACCAACCGATGCTAATTACCCACCTATTGAAAAACATTGTTTAGCCTTGATTTTTGCTGCCCAGAAATTAAGGCATTATATGTTAGCTCATAAAATCAATCTTATTTCTAGAGTCAATCCACTCTAATACCTGATGACTCGTCCAACATTGTCAGGATGTTTGGCAAAATGGTTAATATTCTTAACCAGTTTGATATCACGTTTATACCCTTACGTGCTATCAAAGATCAAGTCGTAGCTGACTTCTTAGCAGCACACCCGATCCCTGCTGAATCCCCTCTAAATGATGATCTCCCTGATGAACAAATTATGAGTTTAGAGGAGCAGGAAGGAAATACCTGGGAGTTATATTTTGATGGTGCCGCATCTTCACAAAAGATTGAGGAATCTCAAGAAGTAATCCCAGGAAAGGCCGGTATCAGGTTGGTTTTCATAACCCCTGAAAAAGAATTGTTGCGTTATTCTTATCATTTATTAGAGCCTTGCACTAATAACAAATCTGAATATGAAGATCTAATAACTGGTTTAGAATTAGCAATATCAATGGAAATCTGGGAAATCAAGATCTTTGGAGATTCTCAACTTATTATCAATCAAGTTGCTTGTATTTACAAAGTCTTGAAACCTAAACGTCTTCCATACTATCAGTACACTATGAAGCTTCTCGAACAAATTCCAAATGTAACTTTGTATAGGGTACCCCGAATTCTATGGCGGATGCCCTTGCAAAACTTGCAAAAGAGTTAGCTTGTATAGAAGAAGAGTCAATCTCTATAGAAGTTCAAGGTCGCAAAATCTTATCTCCTATAGACTTGGAATACATCAATAAAATTTTTCCTTCTAAGGGTGAGATTGTTCTTGCTGTTAATGATGAAACGGTTGACTGGAGAAAACCTTTCATTGACTACTTGCAAGAAAACAAACTCCCTCAAGAGAAATCTGCTGCAGATCAGATTAAAAGAAGGGCTCTCTCTTATACACTAATAAACAACACTTTATACCGCCGGTATTTTGATCAATTGTGGTTACGTTGTTTTAACAAACAGGAAGCCCAAAAGATTATCACCGAGGTACATGTCGGATTGTGTGGTGCTCTCCAATCTGGTCCTAAAATGAAGATGAAAATTAAAAGGTTAGGATATTATTGGCCCTCAATGATTGACGACTGTATGTCAGTTGCGCGTCATTGTCACCAGTGTCAAGTACATGGTGTAGTCCTACACCAACCTCCTAATGTCCTACATCTAACAATTGCTTCATGGCCTTCTAAAAGTTGGGGCACAAACATAATTGGCCCTATCGACCCTCCCTCTTCTAAAGGTCATCGGTTCATTCTAGCGGCAACAGATTACTTTTCAAAATGGGCAGAAGCTGTTCCGTTACGAGAAGTTAAAACTCACAATGTTCTCCAGTTCT